TAACCAGAGTTAGGAAAAGGGACCACATTACTCCTGTTCTGGCTGCCTTACACTGGCTCCCTATAGAACACAGGATAGAATTTAAAATTCTTCTTCTCGTCTACAAAGCCCTTAATGGGCAGGCGCCATCTTACCTTAAAGAACTCATTATACCCTACTGTCCTATTAGGGCATTGCGTTCCAAGAATGCAGGGTTGTTGGTTGTTCCTAGAGTCTCTAAAAGTACAATGGGAGCCAGAGCCTTTTCGTATCAAGCTCCACATTTGTGGAATCAGCTTCCAGTTTGTGTTCGGGCGGCAGACACCCTATCCGTTTTTAAGAGTGCGCTTAAGACCTTCCTTGTTGATAAAGCTTATAGTTAGGGCTGATTAGATTCAGCCCCTAGTTTTGCTGATATAGGCTTAGTTTGTCGGGGGACATCTTACTTCTTCCTTCTCTCTGTCTATAACTGTGTACTATCATGTTCCGATTAACCCAGCTTCCCCAAATGTATTTCTTGTTGGTGTCTATATACGCCGGGATCCGGAGACATGGATGATCCTGCGGTCCTGTGTCCTGGATTGCGAGCCCTGGATCTTGAGTCGTGGCTGTGGTCCTGGATCATAGGTCCTGGATGGATATCCTCGTGGATTCATCTTCCTATTATACACACATGCATTTCCAAACATTTGGACTACCTATGTTGCAAATGTATTATCTTTTCAATTTACACACGGCATCTATTGCATGTCTGTCCGTCCTGGGAGAGGGATCCCTCCTCTGTTGCTCTCCCTGAGGTTTCTCCCATTTTTCCCTTTAAACTGTGGGTTTTCTCCGGAAGTTTTTCCTTGTACGATGTGAGGGTCTAAGGACAGAGGGTGTCGTATTGTCATACTGATATTCTGTACACACTGTGAAGACCACTGAGACAAATGTAACATTTGTGATATTGGGCTAAATAAACATTGATTGATTGATTGATTGATTGATTGATTGATTGATTGATTGATTGATTGAAAGCAACCAGTAATATTTATAAGTATGAACAATTAATTTACTCTGTCTTTATTTGAAGGAGGGTGACATGTATATTTTTCTTTACTATCATGCAAGCTAACGTCACTTTCAGCTTTTTTAAATAAGCAGTTTCATAATGGCAAATAATAGGAATGTTCTGTGACGATTCCCTCTGCTCGTATCCTTGACCAAGATAATCCCAATAAAATGAACACTTTCCACAACTTTTGGCAAAACAACGAAAATGTGGTTCCAAGCAAGCTGTGCCTTTTTTTAGGTGGCATCAGTAGGATAAATATGTTGCAATCTTAGTGTTGTGATGTACAATTATTGAAAATAATAATCTTAATATTGACATAATGGCAACATACTGGAACTCAAAATGTAGTTTCTCTGGAATGCAAGTTTAAATTGTGGCTTTGCTCCAAGCCTGCTTTAAAGAACATGATTACAAAAACAACATGGAGATGTTAACAAGCCATTTTATCTCCACTTCTGGTCGCCAAGATGGAGACCAATCAGAAAGAGGCAGAATGGCCAATCAGAAACAGTAGCCTTGGAAATAGCCAATTAGGCCTGTTTGTCTGTGAGGACAAAGCAAGTGATATTGCAGAGTGATTGCACCAGCGCCTGGCTACACAAACATGCTCAAATGACACCTCGCTTGTTGCCTTTCAACTCTAATTTTCCAGGAGTGTAAGATCTTGATTGCATCGGTGGCAGCAAGAGAGGACGTCTCATTATTACACCAAAACAATCACCACCTCAGAGGCCAAAAACAGAGATTTTGTTTTCATTAAGGAGTTATTAGGTCTCGGGCTCTCAAGTCAAGGCCAGCACACATGCACAACCACACACATGCATGACTCTACTCTGGCAATTTTATTTAAAAGATTTGTACCTTTCCAGTCCACTTAATGAAGCTGTAAATGTAAAGACATGAGAGCCTTTACAGTGCTCCTCTGAGAGCTGCTACAATGATCCTGGGACTGAGCTGGTTAATTAACTGATTATTTGCTTGGCTGGAAGCCATGGAGAAATTAGGTGAATGCGAAGAGAGACAGGAAGGAGAGGAAAAAATAGGTCATGGGGGGCGAGGACAGAAGAGAATGGAAAGCAAAAGAGCCCATAGATCAGGATCATTGCGGCAGACAAAGGTAAGGCATAGAAGAGAGAAAATAAAGAGGACAGGTAAAAATAACATTAAAAGCATGGTAGGGTAATAAAGGAGAAGAAATTGGGAGTGAAAAGGAGGAAATTATGTCAAGAAGAGTAGGCAAAGATCTGGCATCAACACGTTTCAGTTATCTGTAGTATTGCTGCATTATGACTTCCATCCACTGGTGGCAGCACGTACACTGCAGAGGATCAGCAGCAGAGCCATTTTTACATCCACATGGACATGGTAGATTGTAGGAAATCCTCCTCATGATTAAACTTTTCCTATTTGTAGAGTTGCCAAGAAGACATTTTTATTGTAACTTTATTCCTCAAATTAAGTGGATTACACAGTATCTGAAATGCTCATGGTCTGTAAAATGACCTTGAGAATTTGTGGGGTTAGGGTCAGACATTAGAACAACCATCATGTGATCCAAGAAAGCAGCTGGAAAATTCCAACTGAAAGATGCCTTTTTTTTTTTCTTCTAAACTCAAACACTTACATCTCATATTTCCTTCCATAGAAGGAAGCAAAGAAGGAGGATCTACTTTAGGTTTCTAACCATTATTTATCAAAACGTATTAACCAAAACATTTGTCTAAACACATCCTTTGCCACGGAGCACTGACGTTTTTGCTACTGTTTGAGTGTAGACTATGTACACTCGCTGTTTTGCAACATTTTCTATATTGCGTGTGAACACCATCCATCTTCTCCCGCTTATCCGTGGTCGAGTCACGGGTTAGCAGTTCCAGCAGAGAGCCCCAAACTTTCCTTTCCCTGGCCACATCAACCAGCTCTGACTGGGGGATCCCAAGGCGCTCCCAGGCCAGCGAAGCGATATAATCCCTCCACCTGGTCCTAGGTCTACCCCTCGGTCTCCTCCTCCCATCTGGACGTGCCTGGAACACGTCCCTATAGGGAGCAGTGGCGAGCCGTGACTTTTATACCTAGGCCCTCTGACCCCCCCCTTCCCTCGAAAAAAAAGAAAATATATTACGTCTCAACGTAGACTTCAGCGGAATATCAAAACAGTGGTCCGGGGTGCAAAACGCATCAATGACAGCGACCCTCTACCACACAAAACAACATCATTTATATAAACAAAGCAATTACAAATGAATTAAGTCGGCACGGCGGCCCGCATTGAAAATGACTTGACCTTTGATGATCAAATCACTGAAACACAAAGTCCATCCTCCTGTCCTTTTGGATGAAGCACTTGCGGGTCATTCAGCTGATCCTTTGCTACTCCAGTTTATCATTGTAACTACTCGGTTAATAATTTCGCAACGATGTCATCACTATCACTGAAGTGAGCCATCATGAACGAACTTATGCTAATCATAAATCTATCGATCATAAATCTATCGTTTGGATTTATGATTAAAAAATAATAAAAGTAGGATAGACATGTGGATATTATCCGGCTGAACACAACGTGCATTTATCTAACAGGTTCGTTTTCCACAGACCTTATTTCGAGCTATTTTCCAAAATCCTATGGAGAAATCCCGTTGCTTTCTGTCGAGGGAATCCGAGCGCAGCTTACTTCCGGGTTTTAGGACGCGTCACTGCACCACTTGCATAGACCATTATACATCCTACATAATTATTATACATCCATGCATAGACCTCACAGCGGGCGGAACCTGTCATAAAGTCCGCGAAAATAAAGCCCGCCCATTTAGAGGGAAGATATGATTGGTCAATTGTACTGTCATTTGACATTACTCTCTCGTTGAGTTACTATAGCGGGCCCTCTGTGAATGTAGAGAGGGGACCAACAAGCTCTCCCGTCTTCACATAACTCGCAGAGACTGCATTTAACCCTTCACATTCCAACAGAAACTGAACAGGCAGATTCGAAGGATTTATTTCTTTGGAAACATTATTTTAAATACAATTAAATCAAGTTATTTTGGTAAAATGAATGAAAAATGTAACAACAAAAAAATATAAAAAATAATATTTTACATTTTTTTTTTTTTTTAATGTTTTCAAATATTATTTTTTAAAATATCTTAGGCCCTCACAGAGGGCCTAGAGGGCCCTGACGGCTCGCCACTGCTAGGGAGGCGCCCAGGTGGCATCCTAACTAGGTGCCCGAACCACCTCAACTGGCTCCTTTCGACGCGAAGGAGGAGCGGTTCAACTCCGAGTCCCTCCCGGATGACTGAACTTCTCACCTTATCCCTAAGGGAGTAGCCAGCCACCCTGCGGAGAAAACCCATCTCGGCCGCTTGAATCCGCGATCTCGTTCTTTCGGTCATGACCCATCCTTCATAACCATAGGTGAGGGTAGGAACGAAAATGGCCCGGTAGACAGAGAGCTTTGCCTTCTGGCTCAGCTCCCTTTTCGTCACAACGGTGCGGTAAAGCGACTGCAGTACCGCTCCCACTGCTCCGATTCTCCGGCGTGCAAACACATTGAGCTTTTTGACTTTGTGAACCAAAGAAATTAAAGACCATCCCATCAAACAGACCCGTGAAGAGAGTTCAACCAGGTCAGCTTTTATACAAAATGTTACAGTAATTACTGCTGCTGTAAAGTGACATATGCTCTTTTAAATAGGATATGTTCAGTTATCTCTTAAAAGAGATAAAGTGTGCACATGTAAAGAACAGAGAGGGATGAACTTTCTTTGAATAATTTTTTTAAACCTTCACAATATGGCTGTGTATATGCTGTCTGCAAATTAAACTCCAGGCAGCTTTATTGTATATTGGAGACTTTCCAAGGAGTATGTGTAAAGTATTTTGTGTCTGATACTATCTTTAAAAAAAGGAAATACAATCGAATACACAGAAACACATGCTCAAGAAAGCAAAGAAACACAGGTTTATGTTTGTATCATATTCTTAGTTTATTGAACGCAGTAGCTGAGGTCTCCATTGTAACTGTTTAAGAGGTCATAGGTCAGTCACCAGTAAGTTAGATCTTCTTGCTGGTTCTCTTAAAAACTACAGCGCCAGATATGGAGGTCTAGAGAGAGACAGAGGAAGAGGAAAATTAATAAAACAAGGAGTAAGTTATTGCATTGTCTTGTCATTTTTCAATGGATATGATCAAAAGCGACAAAGCTACACACATGTTTTCATCTGAGAGCTAGATATAACTACCCAACAGTGTATACTATAGAGTAGTAGAGCAACATACACATTAAAGCCGCAGTAATCAATTCCAAAACATCTTATATAATAGTAAACCACTGTCAGAGAACATTTTACTGCACAATGAGTACTTTACCTCAAGTATGGCTTTGAAAATAGGACTGTAGGGGAGTTTTTTAACTGTGTGTTGTTAGTACTTTTACTTGAGTAGAGAATCTAAATACTTCTTCTTCCATCACTGAATGACAGAATTAACTTTTTGGCAAAACTCTTGACAGTTTTCCACATTAGCAAACACCTATAGAACTGCAGCGTTAATGACTCTAATGATCCCTGCGGGGTGCGGGAGTATAATAACGGCTGTCACTCATCAGCACTCAAAGCCTCAGCAAGTGTGTTTACCTCGATGAGCTTGCACCCGGCGATCTCAGAGGTGTGGTGGTAGTTGGGGAAGTTCACGCTCAGCTTGCCTCCATCCATGTGGACTGTAGCCTGAAAACACACAAGTTATAATCAGTCAGGGAACCAGGATACATCCATGCACCCCACCCTTTCTTCTTGCTTTATAAACAATATCATGCTTCCATTTTAACAACAACTGGAGCTAAAGAAGGATTGAGAAACTCCAGAGCTCCAGAGTCTTTGCCTCCTACCTTGAATTTCTTTCCTCCGATGGTCTCCATGTCGGCCTCCTTGTCGACGCTGAATGTGTTGGTGACCTTGGCGTTGGCGGGGTACAGCTGGGTCCAGGAGAAGGTGTTGCCGTCCTGGGTGATCTCTGTGACCATCTTGTAGTCACGGCCCTTTGCAATCACGTCATCTGGGATACCTGGAATGGAAAAATAAGAGAAGTGTGAGCCCAAGGCAGTCCACAAACACACAGTGAAGTATAATGCATGAGTTGTTTGGCTGAGAAAAGTGTTCTCACTAAGAAGCTTGCAGAAAGCGTCATATCCCTCCTGGCTCTCAGTTTCCCATTTTCCAGCGAAGGCCATTTTGGTGGTGTTGGTGTGAGGAGGCGTGAGAGATGCTGAGGTAAGCTGAGGGAAAAGCAAGGTACTGAGACCAAGACTGCTCCCTGGTTATATACCGTACGCCTCTCGCCACCTCCCTCATCTTCATGTGATGACACCAGAGTGTAATTACAACTGAATGTGATGACTACAACGGAGGGCAATAACCTGTGCAAACGGCCGTTTATGGAGTTCTCCAGCACTGAGCAGAATGCTGACGGCTCAGCAGGTCAACGAACTCTTCACCAATGACCCTGCGGTCGCGCCCTACCCTTTTACTGCCCTAGACTCGTCAAAAATCAAATAAAAATTATTGTTTCAAAGTATAATCCCTTTATTTGAAGTAGTTTATTGTCTTGGATTGTGAATGGTCTGCAAAGAGATCACCATTTACTTGTTCAAGGTCTTTCTTTACAAGCTTGCATTAACAAAAACTCTAGAATATGATGAGACGTGATAAGAGTAATTCCCGTGTTTTATAACTTATAACATTGTATAAGGAGTGACAGATAATTGTTAAGTTGGTATACAAAATAGTTTTGTCCTTTTTACTTGATTATTTGCATTTTGAAATTGGCACATATAAAGTCAACTTCAACCAGGTTATGCATTATTATGGCAATTTGTCCTGTCTGGTAGAGTGACCTGGTGACACAATCAAGTTTCTCTACCTTAATTGTTTGTCTGTGTTGTGTAAACATTGTATGTATTCCTAAATACAACTGTGTGATCATTTATATTTAAAATGGTCAACAAATGCCATGAAAAGACCAAATCCAAATGTTACACTGTCTGTCCCCATTTTGTCTGACGCGTTCAGCACTATTCCCATGTCTTCCTACCAAAGACACGTCCTTATATATATACTTCATTTTGAAGAATACATTTCCAAAACAGCTGTGCATTGTAGTTATAATCCACTGTTACCCAAACGGTAATATTAGGGCATGCATTGAGGACTGTTTGCAGTGGATATGTTTTCTATAGTAAGTATTTAAGGCATAAAGAAACTGACTGGAATAAACTGCAGAACCAAATGATTGTGCATTTTTGTGCAAAATATACTGAAGCTGCCTGCTAAGCGTTCAGTGAGCTCTGTACTAGGGTTTAATATGAGATATATATGATTACTTAGTGGACAAGAACCTGATGTTCCTTTTTTCCGATATGTTTTGGTCTATTAGATGTGAGGTGTGTGTGAATGAATTAGAAAAGAGTATAATAACTATTATAATTGAATGTCTATATAGATGTACTACAGAATATAATTTGCTTTATATAGTAGTTATAATTTGCATGTATGTTCTTTTAATCCAGTTGTATAAATAAACATTTGGAGCATTCAAACCAAATAAAAATGTTTGTTTTAGAAATACTTCTAATACTCTCAATGATTTCTAAGATATGTTTCAATATTACTGAATTAATTCAGTACCACAAAATATATGCATCAGTTATACTCTGAACAGATCATTAAAGGTTTTCAAGGGGGAATGTTTGCAGTAAATTGAATAAAACAGCATACTTTAGACAAAAAACAACAATTCACAAATTCTCTCTTTTAAGGGAAACAGCGCGTGGTGGTTTGGGGAAATGACTGCAGCGAGTGAAATCGAAGTTAAGTGCAGCATCATAAAGCTTTTACCTCTTTACACTTTGTCAGAACTGAAAGGCCGAGGTGCTTCAGTCATGTAGTCACTTCATCTTAATGGACAATTTTCTGCCTCTAGTGTGTCCAAGAAATATTATCCTGTAATTCTGTTTGCAGTGTTTCGAAACCACCAACCGTCAACATGGCCTTGAAGCTCCTTATAGATACATAAAACATCATATTGGCCAATATCCCATAAAAGACTCACGCTGTCAAACTCTCTTTTTACTGTCTCTTTATCAAACAAACTCACACCAGGGGTCAGGGGGCTGAAGTTTACAAATGCTGTACCTCATCAAATTTAACATGCTATCCCGCCACTTTTTTACAGCTAGGGGAATTGTGTTCTGTAACATGACGTGATATTGGGTTCAGGTTGACATTAACACTCTTGCATTTGACCTTCCAGAATATACTTCATGATGAAGCATTATTCACATACATTCAAGCACAGAAAATGCTGTGCACATTTCCACAGATATGGTTCTATTTAAAGGAGTGTTTTAAATGTTCCTTTCTCTGTTGTAAATTAATAGCTGAAACAACTTTCATATTGATGAAAATCAGTTATCTACAGTAAAGTATGACGTAGGAATGTTACTAAGTACCGTATAATATTGGACTACTTGAATTTGACTTTTTTAATAATATCATACATATCATTTTAGCCATAATGTGCTGTATTTTGATGTTAATACAATTTGGATATTGGGCTTTTGCATGTCTTATTTAGCCTTCACATTTTACAATGTGGTGTTCTTTTAATGAAATAGATCAGAAGTAGTTTATTGAAAAACCTCCTTCACCTGATGTGAGAGGGTCTGCTAGTAAAGTTTCAATACTACCAGAGGGGGGGAAAGTACTCAGATCTTGTACTTGAGTAAAAGTAGAAGTACCAGAGTGCAGAAATACTCTGTTACAAGTAAAAGTCCTGCATTGCAAATGTTACTCAAGTAAAAGTGCAAAAGTATTGGAATACAAAAATACCAAAAGTAAAAGTCCTCATTATGCAGATTGGTTATTTGTATTGATTTTAATTATTGATCATTAAAGTGTTATCCAAGCTGGTAAAGGTGCAACTAGTTTTAATGACCAAATACTGCAGGGTAGATTGTGAATGTAAGTGTAACTAAAGTCTTATTTAAGAATTGATTATATTTCACATCATTAATCCAAATCTTTAGAGTAACTAAAGGTAGTAAATAAATGCAGTGGAGTAAAAGTACACAATTTAACTCTGAATTGTAGTGGAGTAGAAGTACAAAGTAGCACAAAATTGCACTCAAGTACAGCACTTGAGTAAATCTACTTAGTTACTTTCGCCACTGAATACTACCAATACCAAGTCCATCTCCATAGGCCCCCATGTTAAAAGGCCCAATTTAACACTAAACATGTTTACAGCTTGGTACAAAATACGGTTTCGGTCTCTTAAGGTAATCCCATGTTCCTGACAACTGTACGAGGGGTACCTTTGTATACAGTACAATGTACCTGATTCATTTATATTAGGGCTTAAAGTTAATCATAATTCAAACATGGCCGCTTTGAGTGACAGGTGGTAGCCATCCAAGGTCACTAGCAGCTAATTGTCTGCTCTGCTGCATCACCTGGGCCTGTCTCAGCGTCACTGACTCTCCACCTCTTCGCCCATTTTTCAGAGTTTTAAAAAGACCCTGAATCAGGAACAGATAAAAAAGAAATAAGAACCTTAACATTTCCTCCATGTTTCTTTCTGCTAACTCTGCTTTCCCGGGTGTTCCAGACTTCGATTGTAACAACAACCAATGATAGAAAGTCCTGCTCATCTACTGGCAATTGAAACGAAGCATATCGCCTATTTTAGAGTTCACTGAATAGAGTACAAACCTTTCCTTTACTACATTTAAGCTAATTCTGGCCCATGTGGAAATTGCAACTTGTTGGTGAGTCATCTCAATGGTTTACAGAGCATTCTCCATACGTCAAATGTAATGGTGCAGTTGTTGAGGTACTTTTGCCACCATAATTAGATTGTTTGCACAATGTCTTGAAGTGGAAAAACACCAGATTTTTTATCTCAAGGTAAAACCAAATCCATTCAGAGCAGAGAATAGTTAGCAAAGTGCAGTTGTTAAGAGTTAATTGCCCATGTTGTAAAATTGTAGTTATACTTTAATAGTAGGCTGTATTTGAAACTTTCGATTAAACATTTACTTTTTTTCTGATCTCTTAGTTCCTCAGGTGTGTATCCTACTGGCCAATGAGTAACCAGGATAACTTGCTAATATACCCAGCCACATCTCGGTGAAGTCATGCTTTACTCCTGCCTGTTGTCTTGTTTTATAGGCATCTTTCCATACATGTGAACAAGGAGAGAAATAAAGGCTGAGCTGATGATGAGTACAGAAATGGAAAAAATAGAATATGAACAAATGAACAAGGAGTTAATGAAAAACAAAAGAGGGAGGGGGGGAGGAAGAAAAGATTCTAAATAAAGATACATATAGATAGATTCCTTTTATCTAGAGCTATAAAGAGGGGATTTGCGATGCAGGAATTAAAGGAGGGGAAGCCTTGATATGCAAATGAAGCTGCTGCTAATCAAAGCAATAAGATTAGCCTTCCAAATTGAGATGAAGAAAGGCTCCATTATCTGGGCCGAGTGTCATGTTTAATAACGCGGAACGGCATGGTAATTCACCAGTGATGCAACTGCAGCCCATGTGGGTGTGCATGTGTGTGTGTTAAAGAGATGTGTCTGTGTGAAAGAAAAAGTGAAGGAGAACTAAATTGCATATGAGAATTAAACATGTGAAAGACAAATTGTGACCTTGTCTGTGTTAGCACGTAAAATGTCACCCAGCGTGAGTGTGTGATCGCGCTTGTGTGTAGTTAAAGAGAGGGAAAGATAGCGTACAGAAAAGTGGTTCCCATGGGAAAGAAGGGTGTGGGTGTGTGTGTGTGTGTGTGTGTGTGGTGTGTGTGTGTGTGTGTGTGTGTGTATGTGTGTGTGTGTGTGTGTGTGCGTGTGTGTGTGTGTGTGTGTGTGTGTGTGTGTGTGTGTGTGTGTGTGTGTGTGTGTGTGTGTGTGTGTGTGTGTGTGTGTGTGTGTGTGTGTGTGTGTGTGTGTGTGTGTGTTTCTGCTTAGCTTTGATGCTTAACTTTTTTGCTATGCTGGAAGGATGAACACATTGGTAATGGTAGGCTACATTACGTTTGTAGGCAAACAGACAGGAACTCCTGTATGCTCACTCAGATATTACAGATTAGCCGGGTTAGATTAGGTACATTACAATTCCTCAGATGGTCCTTGTTTAACTTGCTAGTTTTTGCTACTTGTTAAATCTAGTGTCCAGGTAGGGTTTGTAAAAAGATGGTTTAAAAGAGGCTAGGTTTGCAGTTGAATTTAAACTTCTCTTAACGTATTATGCACAGAGGACTCATAGCAAAGTTAGCAACTAGCATTTTCTTTCGTGGGAACAATTTGCATGTTGATATATATATTTTTTCAACTTTTGTTTTTGTCACAGGCACTCAGAAAGTAAATATTAGACCCGATAGAGTAATTCTATGATTTTGATTTTTTTCTATTTTTTCTGACCTTCAACCAAAAATGTTTTGCGTAGTTCAAACCTAAGTAAAACTTTATTACTCCTTTCAATCTAGACAAATTAATCTCCTTCAAGATCCACTCCTTTTTTTTCCACATAAATTATTTTATTTGCATGCAAGTATTTTCCATTTTCATATATTTGTCCCAGCCCCTGTGTGTGAAGCCTTTGCAGCAATAAAAGAAGAGTGGTTATTGGATTTATTCATCTGTCAGAGGAGAAAATATGACTGGATGAATGCAGTGTTCCTCTGGGTCTGCTAAGGTGATATAATGTCAATGGTGCCTTTCAAGCATGTGCTGCTCTTTAAGCAACACACATGTAAGTACTCCTAATGCAGAAAGACCCCTTTGAGAGTGATGCAAGCATTATACAATATATATATATATATATATTTTTAACATAATAAATTATTTCTGTGTGATTGCGTATTTGTCCGTGTATACCATAAAAGAAAATGAACACATTAATTGTGTTATTGGATTATTATGAAAGATGCTTACATTGAAAGCATCGTTCTAATATTATAGCTGGTCAGGTTGTGCTATACTTTATATACTGCTGCATGGTTTTTAAAATATAACAAGATAAAGCACAGCTGAGCAAACGACAGAGAAGCTATCGTTTATGGTAATTTTACCAGTCGATCATAACTAATTTGACGATGGCTGTTGACATGTTCGAAAAATGCTGCACAGAGCACCTTTAACTTTGAAGAGCCTGACAGGGAGAGCTGCCTCAGTAACTTGGGCAATGAGCCAATCTAACCATTAAACAGCGAGACAGAAATAGGCCACGGTAGCCGCCAACAGTAAGCATTCTGTTGTTGTTATCTTTGCTGTTTCTCAATCCATCCTGACAGCCTTACCACCCTTTGGGGAAGGAAACGGCAGTCACTGGTGATTAAAAAGCCGCCACCACCCCCACTTCATCCAGGGAGCCAAATTATGCCTGCATTAATATTTCATATTACACAGGACTTGCAGAGAAACCACATGTGTACTCAGCCCTTTGTCTTCATGTCAAATGAAATGTGCTTGGCAATCATCAGAGGGTGAAGAGTGGGTGAGAGGAGGGGTAACTGGCAGGAGGGGAGGAGGAGAAAGGAAGGGGTGGGGGGAGATGAGAGGGAAGGAAAGAATGGCAAGGGACGATAACAGGAAGTTGAGGAAAAAAGGAACGGTGGTACCAGGTGGGACTAGTAAAGGGATCTGGAAAAGAGAATATATGAGTGAGTGGATGGGACAATAGGAGGCTGGAGAGTCAGGAGATATCAAATCTGAAGCGGAGAGTAAAGTGATTAGAGATCAGCAGAGTAGATTAAAGGTAAGTAGAGCAAAGAAGAAAATAAAGGGGGAGAGGAGAATAAAGTGGGAGTCGGGAAATACCTTTGTGCTCTACTTTAAACAATTTAAAGAGGTGAAGGCATACAGAGGACAGAGATGTTTGTTGTATTTTAGTTAGCTAGCTGTTAATGATCAGCTTATCTACATAATATATTATCAAGAGACATTGCAATAATACTGCCAGATGCTAGATGTAGAGTAAGAGAGCTGAAAGAAGAATAACAACCACAACATTGAACTGAAAGAATAAACAAACATCCTGTGAGATAACCCATCAACTCAGAAGCTAACAAGAAAAGCAGGTGCCCAGGTCTCTCTTTAGCTCCAATGCTAAATTCAACCATTTTGAATCTTATCATTACTGTTATAATTCCCCAGAAAGGGGAAACTACTATACTTCCTTCGGTTGTGAAAACATTGCAGTTTTAAACTCATAAAGGCCATTTAAATGACTGATAAAATTCACAGCGGCCAGTTAATTCCAATGTCTCCTGCATATGTGAACACAGAAAATACAATGTGTTTTTGTGACAATTTAAAAATGTTAAAGGACATTTTTGATGTTGCTGAGGTAGCTGTTTTTAAGCTTGGTGCAACACAAGTTGAACATATTGTATCTTTTAAAATGTTATCAATGAAAATGGGTATCTTTAATGCTGCGTTCACACCGGACGCGATGTGATGTTTGGGGGCGGCGCGATTACATGTAAAGTCAATGCAGAGACGCGGACAGACGCGAATTCGCTCCGACGGCGAGCATGAAGCGGTGGACGTGGCACGAATCACGCGATTGAGGCGATTGAACTGTGCCGCGTCAAACGCGAGAGTTCAATTTTTTCAACTCGAGCGTCAAATTCACGTGACGCGTTCTCGCGGAAGCCAATCAGCGGTGAGGATCTCAGCCTGCCGTCACTGACGTTCAACCAGAAAACATCA